CATTGTCATAGGGCAACATGTGTAGTAACTGTTAAATGAGAAACTATTTTGTTCTGTAAGCCTTCATCTTAAGTGAGAATAACAGCACAATTGGAAGAGCTGTGCATGTAGAAATCTTTGAAATGGTGTATCTTTGGCTATGTGTATTTTCACCAAAAAAAAGGTTGAGAAGTCAGAGGGTTGATGTGGGGTTGTTAACCAATGTCATAAAAGAACATGTGTACTACTGTTTCACGAGAAACTATTTGTTCTGTAAGCCTTCACCTGTAGTACAATTAAAAAAAAAAATGTGGAAGTTCTAACCGCTGTACCTGTAAATATGACCCTATTTAGAAATAGTTTTCTTTTGTTAGGTTAATGACATCGTACCAGAGCAGGGTGAGTACTAAATCTAATTACTTCTGAGTGATGTCTTATAAATAGAGCAGAATAGACACAGAGACACACACAGGGGGAAGACAGATGCCATGTGAGGACCTGTCTACAAGCTAGGGAATGCCAAGGATTGCTGGCAGAAACCAGAAACTAGGGGAGAGGCCCACAGAAGGAATCAACGTAGCCAAGACCCTGATTTGCACTTTTAGCCTTCAGAACTGTGAGAAAATAAATTTCTGTCCTTTAAAGCAACTACTTGTGGTATTTTTTGCTGCGGCAGCTCTAGGTAACTAAGACAGGTGTCATTGAAAAGCTGCTGAAGCAGGGAAGAGACACGCTGCAGAGGACACCCAGTGGGTTCTTCAGGGACAACTGGAGGGAGAGTTCTGAGGCCTCATCCAAAATGGAGCAAAAGCATTGCATTTATTGTAGAAAATACAGGCCTGTTGGCCAGGTCACTTGGATCAATGGGGTCCTACTATCTAAGGAACTTTGTCCTTCTTGCGATAAAATGAAAGAATTAGAAATTGCCGCAACCAGCTCACTACAGTGCTTGAAGATTAAAAGTGCTGATTCCTGTAGGTGATTCAAACAACTCAGAAATGAATCCTGACAAAAGTCAGATTTCATTGACATTGACTGGGACAGTGCTTTGGAGGAGGCTGCCATTTTTAGGGGGTGATAGGATACCCTGAAATGTGTGCTACTGTTGTGGATTGAATTGTGTCCCCAAAAAATGTGTGTCAGTTTGTCTAGGCTGTGTGGTTGTCCTCTATTTTGTGATCTGATGTGATTATCCTATGTGTTATAAATCCTAACCTCTATGATGTTAATGAAACAGGATTAGAGCCAGTTATGTTAATGAGGCAGGACTCAATCTACAGGATTAGGTTATATCTTTAGTCAATCTCTTTTGATATATAAAAGAGAAAATCGAACAAAGAGGAGAGGGACCTCATAACACTAAGAAAGAAGCGCCAGGAGCGGAGGGCGTCCTTTGGACCTGAGGTCCCTGTGCTGAGAAGCTCTTAGACCAGGGGAAGATTGATGACAAGGACCTTCCCCTAGAACCTACAGAAAGAGAAAGACTTCCCTGGAGCTGGCACCCTGGAATTCAGACTTCTAGCCTCCTATACTGTGAGAGAATAAATTTCTCTTTGTTAAAGCTGTCCACTTCTGGTATTTCTGTTATAGCAGCACTAAATAACTAAGACAGCTACTTACCCACTCACACTTGGGCACCTCTGGGTACCAGGTTCTCTTCTCTGAGCAAGTGACACTTTGGAGGCCAACTACACGATAGCCTCGATCACACTGGATGGTGACATTTTCAGTCTCAATATACTGATCCTTATCCACAGAGAGCTTCCCATTTTCTACCTCTGGTTTCAAACACAGAGCTATAATGGAAACACAATTTTGATCATCCTTGATTCTCAGGAAAAGATTGTATAATAGTATAGATTATTGAAAGGTGAGAAACACTGATGATAAAGCATAATCATACTGAGTTGCTCTTTGCCTCTGTTTATTTTATGATATTAATAAAATTAATAATAGTAATGTTTTTACACACATACTACGTGTCAATGTAAGTACTAATGAAACCAATATTACTTTCTCCATTAGGCTAGGGGGAAAAATGAGCTACAGACGGTTTATATAATTTTTCCAAGGTCACATGGTTTTTAGGTAATACAATTATGTTATAAGCCTAAGTATTGTGACTTCAGAATCTGAGTTTTCAAAACTACTATAACTCAAAGCCTTGCTCTTTACACGCTCCTGAGTATATACTTTTTATTCTCCTTCCCTTAACATCCTCTTGTGTTAAATAGAGATACTAGTGGGAAATTATCTCCTCGAGTTGCTATTAGCAAAGTGATAAAAATGCCATGTGGAATTGAAAAGGCAAACTCAAACTTGACCTCATTAGGTCAACTGCAGCTTGATGGTCAACAAGAAATCTTTTATCAGGTCAACTTTATTACAAATAGGTAGTCGCCTGTACAAGGGCTCTAATGGAGATAGCAGATACTTCAAGGATGTTTGGAATTTACCCATAAGAGTCCTCTTTCAAACTTAAGCAGGTGCTCACTAAGATTTTGCTAAATCTCCATTGATACTCTCAACTGTGATCTCTTGGTCCAGAATCAGAACCACATATACATGGACACTTGATTTATTACAAAGGTAGCACTGCAGAGCAGTGAGGAAACTATGTTCTATTTCATAAATGGTGCAGGATTAACTGGCTGTCCATTGGGGGGAAAACAAAGTTTCACTCGTACTTTGCACCATAAACAAAAAGCAATTTCAGGTGGATTAGAGATATCAATGTGAAAGGTAAAACAATAAAGCTTCTAGAAAGTAACATAGGAGAATATTTTTGTGACATTGCTGTAGGCAAATCTATCTTAAATAGGACACAAAAAGCACCAACCATCAATGAAAAGATTGATAAATTAAAATCTAAAACTTCTGTTCATCAAAAGTAGGACACACACACTACTGGTAGAAATGTAAATTGTTACAACTACTTTGAACAAAATTTGGCATTATCTACTAAAGGTGAATATGTGCAAACCCTATGAAGCAGCAACTCCACTTCTAAATTTATTCTCATCAGAAACACATGCACATTTGTACCAAGAGACATGTCCAAGCATTATTCCTAATAGTCTACAACATGAAAAACCCAAACTTTACCTATACAATGTTTATACAGTATTAAAAAGAATACATAACACATGGTATATTCATCCAATGGAATATCATTGTTGTTGTTGTCAGGTGCAGTTGAGTCAATTCCAACTCGTAGCGACTCTGTGTACAACAGAATTAAACACAGCCCAGTCCTGTACCATCCTCAAAATAAATCATTGCTATGTTTGAGCCCATTGTTACAGCCACTGTGTCAATCCATCTTGTCGAGGGTCTTCCTATTTTTCGCTGACCCTGTACCTTACCAAGCATGATGTCCTTCTCTAGGGACTGGTCCTGCCTGATAACACGTCCAAAGTGCGTGAGACAAAGTCTCTCCATCCTTGCTCCCAAGGAGCATTATGGCTGTACTTCTTTCAACGCAGACTTGTGTGTTCTTCTGGGAGTCCGTGGTATATTCAATATTCTTCACCAATACCGTAACTGAAAGGCATCAATTCTTCTTCGGGCTTCCTTATTCATTGTCCAGGTTTCACATGCATGTGAAGCGATTGAAAATATCATGGCTCGGGTCAGGCACACCTTAGTCCTCAAGGTTACATCTTTGCTTTTCAACACTTTAAACAGGTCTTTCGCAGTAGATTTGCCTAATAGAACACGGTGTTTGATTTCTTAACTGCTACTTCCGGGGGTGTTGATTGTGGATCCAAGTAAAATGAAATCCTTCACAACTTCAATCTTTTCTCCATTTATCATGATGTTGCTTATTG